CGGCTTTTATTTGAGACCTCACATGATATTATTTGGTGAACCAGAATGTATATACCAGAATCAGGAGATACCTGTCCCCCTCTATATTCCCCTGCCAGGTGGCATTAAGAGGTTCTTGGGTCACAGAAGCTATTGCAACTAGATGTAACTACTCTTAAAAACAAAGAAGTATGAATAGGCTAAAACCATGTGATTTTAGAGAAGGGGGTTTTGCCAAACATCCTGCTAGAATATATGTTGGAAATCAAACTTCTCCAAAAGAGTAGGAGAAGAGTTGCATAATCCATTACAATCTGCTGAGTAAACAGTACGCTTTTAAAAGTTATCGAAAGGCATACTAGATTATCAGTTTATGGAAAAATAAATATTTACATAATTTTCATGGGGCCTCTTTTCTCAATGCCAACATTAAACCCACAAATACTCCATGCTGCTAGTAAAGTAGATAGGCATTGGGTGATTCTGAGTTGAGGCAAAAACTGCATCTGAAATTCATGGCATTCTGCCTGGGTATTGCCGCTTATATTTTATGAGAAATCTCAAACATCTTGTCCAAATGCAGAACAAGAAAGCACTCCATTGTTCCATCCCCCCAATATTTATGGTCTATGTTTGCCACACAGCCACGCCCAGTTTGGTCATTTCAGCTTCTTGATACCCGCAGTAGCAGACTAAACAGTCTTCCATTGCATGACATAAAAGCTTCAGAAAGGGTAAAGGAAGAAACATGGGAAAAGCAGGCACGCAGGGATAGATTTTGAAAGCTCTGGGGGGCAAGGAATGGGACCGGCACATTCAGGAAACCATTTGAGTTAATTAACTAATCTGATACAGAGAAAAATAATGCACATTCACAATTTTTCTACAGATATGAAAATTAATTAGATCAAGCCAGATGTAGAGTTATTTGTTCTCACAGGGTGACTGGCTCCTTTAAGCGGAATCAGGGCTCAGTGTTCATTCTGAAGGTCCACCTGAGAGTAACTGACTGTCTCAGGTGGCTACCTAAAGGTTAACTGGAGAAGAAAAGGGGATAGGGAAATGTGGGAGAAGTGGGAGCAGGCCCACTGAACCCTCATCCGGACAAGTCCTACCTCCCTACACCTGGACCTTCCGCTGAGCACCCCACACTCAGACCCTCACCCCACTGAACCCAACCAGCTGCTCCTGGACTCCCACCCCATCAAGCCCCAGCACTCCCCCAGCACCCAGATCCCCTCCGCTGAGCCCCACTCCCCCAGCACCCAGATCCCCTCCGCTGAGCCCCAACCATCTTCATCTGGATCTCCTGCAGAGTCCCATTGCCCCTGCACCCGGAATCCCTCAATAAGCCCCTGTGCATCCAGATCTCCCACTTTGCCGCTCACACCCAGATTGCCTCGCACAGAAACCTCTCATCCCACATCTGTATCCCCCACACTTGGGTCCTTCTGGGCTGAGCCTGCCCACCCACACCTGGTGTGGCTGGCACAGAGGGGCAGGGCCCCAGGGTGTTTTTGGGGCAGGCCCAGCCCTTGCACCATGTCAGCGGCAGATGCAGCCTCACTGCCGAGTCCCTGTACTGGGTGGGGGGGAGGGCATCAGAGTGATCTCCCACCTCAATGCAGCCAGTGGCCTGTGCTCCCCACTGCCATGCTGGAGCCACCTTTATTTACTGACAAATAAAATTTGCAGAATTTAAAATATTGTGCGCAGAATTTTTAATTTTTTGGTGCAGAATTCCCTCAGGAGTATATACTGCATTAGTAATGCCCTGAGTTATCCTATCCCCATTAGAGTTAATGTTAGCCTAATTCTCAAAGGTGTTTCTGGAAAGGTCAGTTTATTAAATCAAGTTCTGATACTTTTGGAACTTACACAGGTTGCATCTTTCACTCTCTGGAAACAGGCTTAATCTCCCAGGCTTTGCTCTCAGTGTCAAACACCCTTTCAATCTGTCATACCCTATTCTTAAAGGAACAACTCCCATTAAGCAAGTGCAAATAATAAATGCAGCTGTAAAGCCAGTGTTAGCACAAAATCCACATCACTTTAAATGCAATGTTTAACAAGATAAAATTACAGCAAGAACTCCTGGGTCCTTATAGTAACTTTCATACATATATGTTTTTTCCCACTCCCCACAAATCATCAGAAAGCTTTGAACTCACAAACTTCAAAACATAGCACAGATTTCTTCTACTTCAGAAATAAGAGTAATTTTGTACAGAAAAACCCAGCCCATACAGGTGAGCCAACACACATAGTGGGTTACACAAATGGTTACACAACACACACAATGGGTTACACTTGTGAGGTGACACTGAAACTCTAAGTATAGGATTTTTGATTCACTTCCTGGCTCTGGGAGCAAATTTTACAGGCAGCATAGCCAATTGTACCACTCCCCACATTTGCGTCATCTGCAGGGGCTGAATCTGGGATCTCTGGATGGAAATGCATAAGATTATTCCACTTAAGCTAGAGGGGCAGATCTCTTTGCATGAAAGCAGCAGTGGAGTCAAACATCTGTGTGCAGTAGTTTAGCTGCTAAAGTGTGACAGAACCACACTTCTCTAAGCATCAAATTTGCTATGTTCCTTCTGAACTATTATGTGGCAAAAGCGATGAGACTTGGCTCAGTTAGATCAGAAACTCTGATTCTAATCTCAGCTCTGCCCAAAGTGGGTGAATGAGCTGACCTTCTGCAAGCTCCCAGTTATCCTATTTGGGAAGTAGGAGAATAACAGCTTCCCCCCAAGACTTACAGTAAGGGTTGTGGTGTGCAGCAGTCAGTAGAAGAGCTTGGACTAGGGGTATGTCTATACTTACTTCCTGGTCCGGATGTAAGCAATCGATCTTCTGGGATCGATTTATCACGTCTTGTCTAGACACGATAAATCGATCCCAGAAGTGCTTGCCATCGACGCCGGTACTCCAGCTCAGCAAGAGGAGTACGCGGCATCGACGGGGGAGCCTGCCTGCCGCGTCTGGACCCGCGGTAAGTTCGGACTAAGGTACTTCGAATTCAGCTACGTTATTAACGTATCTGAATTTGCATACCTTAGTCCGAAGTGGGGGGTTAGTGTGGACCAGGCCTAGAACTCATGGTATCTGGACTTGCAATCTAGTGCACTTTTCCGTAGGTTACAGGCATTGTGGGGGAGTCAATTTCTCTCTCTTATTTTGCTTCCTCAAAATCATGCAACTTGACACATCAGCAAGACTGCTTGAAGCAGGGGCCAAATCTCATGACTCAGGGTAAATATGAAAGAGTTGGCAACACTGACCAAGGTTGCCAAGAAATACAGTGAAATATCTAAGAACAGAAACCAGACAGCCTAACTCCAAGTCCCATGCCTGAAGTACAACATCATCTGTTCCTCATTCTTGTTTTGTGTTTTATTCTCTAAGTGAAGCCCTTTCCTATCAAGGCAACAATCACTACAGAAATTAGTAAAGTAACTAACAGCCAATTCAAAGCTGTCAATAGCTATTCACCAATAGCCATGCAGCTTTGAGCTTTCACTTTTATTTTTAAAAAGCTTAATATCTGCACAAGCAGTAACAAAGTATTTCTTAAAACAAAGCTCTGTACATCAGTCACCACCTACATTATATACATTCTAAAACTGCACATTAGCTTGTGGTTTTAGTGAAATTACTTTTATTGTTAAGATCCAACAGTAAGCAATAAAAAACGAATAAAACGGCTTCCAGAAATTGAGTTTATCTTCCTTTAGCAAACACTGTTTTTGAAGCCTAGTCAAGTCGACGGTGTCTATATAATAAATATTAAACAAAAAGAAGTCGAACAAGTTACAGTAACAGTCTGAATATTAATTAGTGATATATATATTTTAGGCACAAAAATCTAACTAAAACTATCACCAATGCTGGCATGAAACAGTTTGCCTTAGTACTTAGATTGTAAACTCTTTGGGACAAAGACTGACTCTTTTGCTCTGAATTTGTACGACTATCACAGTGGGGTCCTAGTCCATGACTAGAGCCCCTAGACGCTGCAGTAATACAAATATTAACAGCAACAACACCAGTACCATTCCACTACCTCAGCCGTAATATACCAACAGGCCTACAAACCAATATAAGCTTAAAAGGAAACTAAGTTTAAAGCCAGAGCATATAACTCTAGTGTGTGCATTTCCTATCAATGAGAGAAATCTATATCTACAGGGCATATTTCAAAATGACTGCGACTCCTCCCAGGCAGCCTTGCCTCCTGTCATCCTGGATGATTAGCAGCTGATTTCTAGAGGGATGTGGGATGGCCTCTCAGCAGACTGATCACATACCATAAGGCTTTAAAACATTACAGTAAAAGTTTAAGTTGGCTTACAGGACTGCAGGCATCACCAAATCTTGAGCACGAGACTCTTCAGCAATTGTGCTGTTGTATTTTGAGACAGTTGCAACCTCTGAGTAGATTCAAAGCAGGGGTGCTGGAACTAGGGGTGCAGCAGCACGCCCTGGCTTCAAGTGGTTTCCATCATATAAAGGGCTTGGAGTTTTATTCTCTGGCTTTCAGCACCCCCACTATAAAAATTGTTCCAACACCATTGATTCAAAGGGTAGCCCCCAGGTGGAACACATTGTAATATTCAGATTAGAGGTAATAAATACCTGAATTATAGTGACAAAGTTCACATTCAGAATGGAAGACTGCAATGAAGATAAAAAGATACTCTCAACACAGTTGAAACAACTGACATGTTCACCTTTGGAAATAAAAAGTATCACCTTAACTGATCAGCACATTTTTAACATTCCAGGGAGAAACAAAAATCTTTTCTAAATTACAAATATAAATCCACCCACAGTTAAAGAATTCAGTTAAAATCTATTCAGTTAAAAGGTAACACAAAAAGAATCACATAGATAAATGACACAGGTGAGAAGAACTTACAGTTACACTGATACCTTAGTTACATCAGATTGATAGTAGCTAAAACAATTATCTTCAGGTGACATTTGGGATATATGATAATAAATAGTTATCTAATAAATGCTTTTATAAATAAAACATTCATTCTTTGTATTATTTATGACAAACCCAAAGATGAAGATCTCTTTCATTCAAACCTCATTTGTCTCATTTCCTTCCATTCTATTAATCTATTAATCAGTTCTTCTATTAATACCCATAAAACTAGTTTATCTACGTAACTTTTTCTCCTCTTCTGCCTGCTTCTCTGAAGTAGTTATGGAGACACTAACAAACATTATTGTGCTAGGCTTTCACCTGACTCACAATTTTATTAACCAAATAGTTGCTAAGCAGGCCTTTGTTATGTTACTATGGAAATACCACTTTATCTTGACTAATATATGCTGGGCTAACAAAAAATATATCGTACATTGCCAGTACACATTATCAGCACAATACATATATCAGTATGTATTAATTACATGATCACACACTTCCCCCAACCCCACACACAAACCTTGGCTCCTACATTTAACCTTTCCCCTGTAATAATGTATTGTCAATTCTTGCATATTTATCACAAGTCACAACATTTTCTGAGATAAATGAATTTCTGATTTTTATTTTCTCTTGCTCAAGATCTTCATCACCTCTCATTGAGACTGAAGCCACAGACTGCCCTCAATAAAATGGCTGCCGTGTCTCTCTAATCTTCGCAGGTGCAAGTGAGGCTCCCCTTAGCAAAGATGGTCACCTTCCATTGTTTCCAGTGGGGCTGAAACCTGGCTACTTTCAGGGAAGATGGTGGTCCTTTAGGTACCATGTGAGGGGACAGGAGAATGTGGAGGTGCTGAAACTATGGAGGCAACAGTTAGCATAAATGTGTTGGGAAACGGAACAGGTGACTGAGGAGTCGGAAATGTAAGGAGCAATGGTCAAACTAAAGAAGGCACATGGGAATGGAGTATGGCAGAGAGAGTAGGAGATGAAGGGAAAAGGGAGGGAAACATCGAGGGCAAACACATGTAGGAGCAGGTGGGGGACAAGAGATTGTGGGGAAAAGTGAGTGGGATAGCTGCTTATCCTGTCCAGGTAGGGAAGGGGATAGAATGGCAGTTCCCCACATGCTAGGGATAAGAGAAGTTAAAGCCTGCTCCAAGTAGTGAACATTATGGTGGTGGAGTGGAGGGAATGCTAGGGCGGGAATCCCAGCTACTGCCTTTTTACCTCCAAGGAACAGCCATGAAACATGGTGAGGCTTTTGCCATACAGCAAGGAAAATCCATGTTTAATTTCTCTCTCTGCCTTTTCCTGAACCTGTTGGACCTACATACTGTGTGGTACAATATACTGTGCCGATCATCACAATAATGGAGCATCTGCAATGCCAGGCACAGGTTGTGTGATAGCAAGTAACTAAGTTACAGTAATTACCTTGATGTTTTCAAGTTTACATCACTAAATTAAATGTTATTTAAAAGAACCTGAGATAAAATGAACTGAAATCTAGGCTATTTTTGAATGGTTGAAATATGCAACCCATCTTCCACACCAATAGGGATATGCACAATAGACTTAAGCTTATTTTAAGAGGAGTGAGATCGAGACAGGACTAACATAATGCTATTACACAAAGAAGTCAAGTTGTGTGGCCAGCCTCAACATTGGTATTTGCTAATTTCTGTGTGCTTGATTTTGGAACATGAATGTTCCTTAAAATATAGTTTTATATGTAAAGTTCTATTTTTTTAAAAGGCAAACCAACACACAGACACAACTGAAATTCCTTCATGTGGAACCATATTGATTCCCAAATAATCAGGATCTGAACCTAGGACCTTTAGCTCTGCAGCATAGTCCTCTACTATATGAACCTGAGGAACAACTGCTAACAGCAGTAGACTTTTTTCCTATATGTAGACAACGCCACTGGCGGATAACAAACTTTACGTGTAACCTTGTGAAACTGCTCATTTACGTGTAAAAAGTGGAAAGCAATATTTGCCTGCCTGCCTCCTGAGTCTATGGATATGAGGTCTTGCTGAATAATAAAAAATATGAATTGCACAGGTACCTATACATAAAAGACCTAAGACTAGAACTCAAAGTCTTCTCCTGGTGCCCAGCACAGCATCATTTCCTATAGGCTAAAGGGGTTCTGCTGCAGTATCCTGGCCTGAGCTCAAGTTCTGTGGAGCCAGAAGGCATGCTCATTGCAGAGCAACAGTCAGAGGTTTTAGCAGAAAGCCCCTCAAAACCTCTAGCAATTATGTGCAAATGGCAATTTTTGAGGCTTATACCTTACCCAAGTCTGGCTGAATTTTCATGGGGACAATGGAAGACCCCAGAATTAGCCCTGTCAAGATTTTAGGTTTCATTCATTCATGGAGAAGCTGGAGCTCAAAGAAGCAATTGAAAAAAGTAACATTATCAAAATTCTCTCTTCTCCAAAATATACCTCATTCTTGGAAAGGGCTGAACTTGGCCAAGAATTTCAGCCAGAAGCAGAAAGTGAGAACAGAAAGCTTCCACCCAAATTATTAAAATTTGGCAAAATTACAAGTAACCTAAAACAGAAGGGCTTATCCTAGGAAGTGGTAGGCAACCTTAAATACATATGTGTCACTACCAGCTCCACCTATAATAGCGTATCTGAGGTGTGAGGCTATATGGAATATTAGTGTTACCAATATTCTAAAATTGCAAGGAATCTGACCAGATATGTCGTGTAAGGTATCTGTGAAAATGTTATGTTTTCCCAAGTATGATGATCTTGTATATATGTTTGTATCACCTTTGTATTGTAAGTTATAGATACGTATAGTATATCTGTATTTCCAAAATTGTGCTTTGTTCCTGGGTGACATCCCACAGACAGATTGGCTTCAGCACTGCCTAGCCTGTTCAATGTTCCATTGAGGGTCATCAGCTGTACAATAAACCCATTGAAAGAAGCCGGGTATACACCTTATGACTCAGCAGGACTTGTACGGGCATCCCTATGGATAGAAAACTATTCAGGCTTTTGCATGCCCATGTGCTCTGTAACTTGTGTTTGGGACACAGGAAGTACAAGCCACATGGCAAAAGGAATAAAAAAGGCAGTTGCATCATCTCCATTTTGTCTTCACTCCTGCTTCTTACCTATGGACTACTTTTCTACAAACTGAAGCTCTGAACAAAGGACTGAATGAACCATCCAAGCTGTGGATGTGTTCCAGAAGGACTTTCAAGCCAGCAAATTCACCAGCACTACTAAGAACCTGATATAGTAACTCCCCACTTAATGTTATTTCGATCTTACATCCCTGCTCAATTACAAAACATGCTCCATTTAAAGTTGTGCAATGCTTCGCTATGTCGTTTCGCTGCCTGCTTTGTCCACAGTTGGCGGCTTCCCTATCAGCTCCCCTACATGCACCCCCCTCAGCGCCTCCCGTCCGCCGGCAGAGCCCGCGGATCCGCGCCTTCTTCCTCCCCCCCCGCCTCCTGCCCGCGGCAATCAGCTGGCTTGCGGCGTTCAGGGGAGGGAGGGGGAGCCTGTGCGCCGCGCCCTCGCTCCTTCCCCCTCCCTTCTGAATGCTGCAAGCCAGCTGATTGCCGCGGGCAGGAGGCAGGGGAGGGAGGAGCGAGGATGCAGCGGGCGGAGTAAAGGGGGGGGGAGAAGAGGCGGGTTAAGAGTGGGTGCTTAGGGGAAAGGGTGGCATGGGCAGGCCGAGGGTTGAGCCCCCAGCCCCTGATGCTTGCAGAGTAGGGGGAGCTGCCCCTGCTGCTGCGCAACATGCTTCTCCTAGCCTACAGCACCTTCAGCCTCCTTGCCTGCCTCATTGTCTCCAGTGCCAGTGGGCTGTGCCTGTGTGGGGTAAGGCGGGGGCACCTCCCAACTATAGTACAGTTCTGTATGGCAAAAACAAATTTCCCTGGAACCTAATCCTCCCCGCCATTTACATTCTTTCTTATGGGGAAATTGGATTTACTTAACATCGTTTCACTTAAAGTCGCATTTTTCAGGAACATAACTACAACGTTAAGTGAGGAGTTACTGTATATGGACTTAGAAGTCCCTGTATGTGTCTGATTGCTTTACCATTTAACAACTCTCTTCTTGTTCTCTCTTTTTTCCTTATAATAAACCTTTAGTTT